GGGCATGGTGGCGTGTGCCTGCAGTCCCAGGTATTCTGGAGGCTGAGGCAGTACTATTACTACTGAGTAATAGTAGTAGTGGTAGTAGTAGTAGTAGTAATAGCAGTAGTGATCACTTGAGTCCAGGAGTTGGAGGCTGCAGTGAGCTACGATGATGCCACTGCACTCCAGCCTGGGTGACAGAGCAAGATCCTGTATAAAAAAAAAAAAAAAAATCAATAAGGAAACATTGGACTTGAACTGCGCTCTAGACGAAAAGGACCTAACAGACATATACAAAACAGTCCATCCAACAGCCACAAAATACACATTCCTTTCAAGTGCCCATGGAACATTCTCCAGGATAGATCATCTATATGTTAGACCACAAAACAAGTCTGAACAAATTCAAGAAGATTGCAATAGTATCAAATATCTTTCTTGACCACAATGGTACGGAACTAGAAATCAGTAACAGTAACGGGTGGAATTTCCACAAATGTGTGAATTTCGGAAAACTGACACATAGGCGGAAATTTAACAACACACTCCTGAAGGACCAATGGATCGAGGAAGAAATTAGAAGGGCGATTAAAAAATATTTCGAGACAAACATAAATGGAACATACGACACAACTTATAGGATACAGCGAAAGCAGTTCTAAGAATGAAGTTTATAGCAATCAATGTCTACATCAGAAAACAAGAAAGATCTCGAATAAACGCGTTCTCTTTAAAAAGAGGCGGCTGGGCGTAAGAGGAGTCCTGGCCTGGCAGATAGGGCACCTGGGTGTGGTATGTTCCTTACAATGCTGTGGGGAAGGGCAGCCCAGCTCCTTCTGTCCGAGGCCGAGAGTCTGAGCAGGGACAGGGAGGCACCAGAGCTGTGTGCAGCAGCCAGGCTCTGATATGCAAAAGCGACTGCAGGAGGACCCCCACTCAGTGCCCCGGCAGCTTTGCTAATGACCCACCAGGCATTGGCTCTATAGCCCTCCCCTATTAGGGGACTGTCCCCCTTTTGGTCACAGTATTTAAGAAATAAAAGTCAGATTTTCCTGGCCAAAAAAAAAAAAAAAAGACTTGGCCACTCTGACCCTCAGTCTCCTCCTCTGTACAGTTAGGCCAACTGTGAGGATCTGGGAGCATCCTCCATCTGCGTGCCCTCCACTGGGGACGGAGGTGCTTCCCAAGAGTCTCCCCTCCCCCCCCCACAGGCCACTGGAGCGACTGGGTAAGGAAGACTCCTGCCTGCCCTCCCAACCCTGCTGCCTCTAGGGTGTCAGTTCCTGAGTTTGGCTGAGCTACAGGCTGGAGACCACCCCCGACTGCGCCTATCATCAGAGTCGGTGACCAGAAGCCAGAAAAGGGGGGAGGCTTCCATCCCCCTAGCCATGCGGATTTCACACTTGCAGAGAAGAGGGTCCCTGCTGGTAGCAGATTACACTTAATACCTCCACAGCTGCAGGCATGGAGGAGGCCTGGCTTCCCCCAGTTCAGCCCTGACCCTGAAGATCTGGCTCTCACTCTTAGCAGCTGTGCTCCTTGGAAATCTGGGCTCTGATTCAGGCATCGTCTCCAGACCCCAACCCCAGTATGCTGGCTCCAGCTCAGACACCTGGGTCTCGGCACGCACATCCCTGTGCACCCTGCGTGAATCCCTCCTCCCCGTGAAGGCTGCCGGTGGGACAAACAGCGAGGGGTGGGGCAGGGAGGTGGGCTCACACGCCGGGGAACCTCCTCCAAGTCTGACTAACGTCAACGCCCCTCCCCCACCCCGGCAGGGCAGGTAGGGGGCAGTGGGCCGTAGCAGGGAGGCTGGCCCCAGACTGCCACGCTGCGTCCCCACGCCCGCAGCCACGCGGAGTCGCGTCCCGGCCCAGCCTCAACCCCCAGAGCAAGAGGCAAAGGAACTGGAGCAGCGCCCAGGCCGGGCCTGGGGGCTGCAACAGGACAACTGAGCACCCAAGTCCGAGGAGCCTCTTAAAGTGGGGCGGGGCTGAGCTTTGTAAGCCCCGCCCCCAATGTAAGGCCCGCCCAAACAGCACCGCCCTAGTCCTACATGTCATTTACCAAGCCCCGCCCACCACTATAAACCCCACCCACTCAGACCCGTCCCAGCGCTAAGTGCCATTTATTAAGCCCCACCCTCACGTATAAGCTCCACCCACCAAGTCCCGCCCTGGCTCTAAGCTCCACCCACCCAGCCCCGTGGCCTGGAGGGGTGGGGGGGGGCGCCTCAAGAGGCTCCCAGTGGAGCCAGAGAAAAGAGAAAGGGGTCCGGAGAGGTCGTATGTAGCTATGGATGTGGACAATGAAAGGTTAAAAACACAGCTGGGAGGCCAGGGCTGTGCTCCTGTCATCCTGTCATGGCCTTCCCTCACCCGCACCTCCCAGCTCCCGTCGCCCCTGTCGCCCCTGTCCCGGGGGCGCTCCGCTGACCCAGGGAAAGAAGACATACCTTCTTCATGAATTTTGCTTTGCTTGCTGCGGGCATAGCTACCTGGGGCTCCAGGCTTTTCTTCCGAAGCCAGAGCATGTCTTTGTTGGTGCAGTTGCTCATAACAGTTTTATGGAGATTATTCTCAAGGTAATATTCGAGAAAATTCACATGCCATGCGTGCACTTCACCCATGGAAAGTGCACCATGCTGTGATGTTTGCCACATTTGTAGAGTTATGCAGCCATCACCATTATCTAACTAGAGAACAAAAAGAAACCCACACTCTTTTTCTTTTAGAGGCAGGGTCTTGCAGTATAGTGTCTCCATCATAGCTCACTGCAGCCTTGAACTTCTGGGCTCAATCAATCCTCCTGGTTCAGCCTCCCAAGTGGCTGGGACCATAGGCGCATGCACCACCACGCCTGGCTAATGTTTAAAATATTTTTTGTAGAGACAACGTCTCACTATGTTGCCCAGGCTGGTCTCCAACTCCTGGCCTCAAGCGATCCTCCTGCCTCGGCCTCCCAAAGTGTTGGGATTACAGGCGTGAGCCACCGTGGCCCGCCAAGAAGCCCATATTCTTGAGCAGTCACCCCCCTGATTCCCTCATTCTCCCCTCCCCCCATCCTATGGCCACCACGAATCTACTTTCTGTTTCTATAGACTTGCCTATTCTCAAAACCAAGGCATGTCTGTGATGTGCTAAGTCACCCTATTGTGTGAAAGGAGAGAAAAATGGGGTGAAGTCAGGGACCCAAGGGGCGCAGGTGGCTTGGGAGTAAGGAACAGAGATAAAGGCTTCCTCTCGGGGGCTCAAGGCAGCCTGAGTCCTGTCCGCGGGAAGTCAGTGCCCACCCAGGTGTGTGCAGATGAGGGAGACAGAGAAGGCAAAGAGGCCCTTCCTGGGGACAACAGAGGTGCTGTCTGGGAGGCCCAGGATGGGGGAAGGTGAGGGGATTGAGGGTCTCATGGGTGGAGGGTGGGGCTTGGTCTGTGTGTGCAAGAGGGAGAAGCCCAGAGTCTGCAAGAGCAGGTGGGGAGGAGGAGGAAGAGGAGGGAGGGCAGAGGGAGGGCAGGTGGTGGCTGGGTGGGGCTCTGTCTAATAAAGGGTGACTTTCAGCCCGCCGGCCCTGCAGGCAGGCAGAGCTTTGCAGACACCCTAGAAGACACCGGCTCCCCGGACCCAGTGCACCTTGGTGAGTCCTTCTCCTGCACGTTCTCCAGCGAGACTCGTCCCCATTCTGTGCCATCTCCTTTTCTTGCTGAGTGCCCCAGGGACTAGCTTGAGATGGGGGTGTTCCCAGTGCCTGCTCCTGCCCTCCTGCGATCCTCATCACCCCCCTCCACCTCCCCAAGGTGGCCCCGTTAATCTCTCCAGCGAGGAGGACCAGCCTGCAGCATGAACCCGTCGCTCCTGGCTTGCCTGGTGGCCTGTTTTGTGGGGGCCTGGGCCCCTGCTGTCCACACCCAAGGTACTGTCTTCTGCCATACTTACCCCACCTCCCGGGACCCATCCGTCTTTCCTGTCCCCATTTATCTCTCCTCTCTTCCAGACAGTTCCCCCAATCCCACTCCACCGAATTCTCTGATGGCTCCTGCTTCCGGCATTTGGATAATTCCTGGGGGGTCGGGGGTGGAGACGGGGGTCTGCAGCTCCTTTTTCCAGAGCCCTCCTCGGTGCCTGCTTTGCAAGACTCAGGCAGCCGGCGGGAGCCCGAGTGGTTCCAGCTGTGGGCAAAACCACTTACTCCTGGGGACACATTGCAGTGTCCTGACCCTGCAGAGCTAGGGCTGGGTTAGAGGTCAGAGCCTTGGAGACCAACGGCCATGGAGTCCCATCCCTGTCCCCACCCTGCACCCCCGTCCACGCAGTCTGAGAGTTGCTACTCAATCTTTCTGAGTATCACTTTTCTCAGCTGCAAGGTGGGAATCTCAGACTCCCACTGCGTGGACCGAACTCGAGGGTCCAATGAGCCAATGGCTGCGGGAGACTCTTGGCCCAGTGTCCGGCAATAACCATTTCTGTTATTAATGGGGGATCCCTTCCATCTTCCCCCACCCCTGGCCCCAGAGCAGGTGCTTGAGAATTTCGGACACCAAAGGACAGCTCTGGGCATGCAGTGCCCCGCTCCAGCAGTCCTGACACTGGGTCTGCATCCCCTGAGTGTCAGCAGCTGGCCAGGAGCTTGGCCAGGTGGAGGAGCCATGTCCCCACCTTCCTGGCCCGTCTGCCCCTGGCAGTCCCACCTGCCCCCTGGCTGGGTCTGCGAGGTTAGCCTTTGCCCGGGAGGGGGCTGGGTTGTGCTCATTGTTCTGCTATCAGAGCCAACCTGACCCTTTGATCCTGGGGGGAAGGGTGGCCCCCAGCCTTGGGAACCACTTTCCTGGCACTGTAGCCCTTGGTCGCAGAGCTTCCAACAGACTCCCCTGCCCCTTGCCCTCAGGGGCCAAGGTTGGGGGATGCCAAGGAGGCGGGGTCTGGCACAAGTGCGTTGCTGAGGACCTCAAAGGTGGGGCGGACATGTGCACCCTCCTCCTCCCAGAACCCCCAGTTTCTGGCCAGGGGGACTTGAGTGGTCACTGTGATGAGGACCTAGAGGAAGAGATATTTGAGCCAGTCCCAGGTGGGAGGGGACAGCCTGGAGCAGGAGCTGGGACCTTAGGAGCAGGTGACCAGCTGGCTCATTTTGAGGACAGTAGGGCTAAGCTAGGGAGGAGTGGTCCTGGTCCCTCCTCAGTGCTGCACCTGTCCTCTGTCCCCTCTCCCAGAGCAGGAGTAGAAGTGGCTTTGTTCTGTTCATGTGGCGGTTCCACGTCTTTCCCAGCAAGGGGCTGTGGGTTCTCTCCAACTCCCGCTGGGTGTCCCAATGTCAAGGGCAAAGGGTGAGCCAGGCGGTCCCTCAGCCTCTGCCAGGCCTGGAAGGGTCTTGGTATGTGCCTACGTGGGCAGGCAGGTGCCCACGCCTGTGGCCATCCCTGCCCAGTGCAGACACGAGTGTGCGGGCGGCCGTGTGGTTGCAGGTGTCTTTGAGGACTGCTGCCTGGCTTACCACCGCGGTGTCAGGTGGGCTGTGCTGCGGCACGCCTGGGGTTACCAGCGCCAGGAGGTGAGTGGGAGCTGCAACCTGCCTGCTGTGATGTGAGTGGGGCTGAGGGGGGTGGCGGGTGAGGCTCGCTTGCAGCTCCGTTCCCCACTTACACCCTAACCTGGGCACCCCGTCTCCACCTACCAGATTCCATTTCCGCAAGAAAAACAGGATGGTGTGTGGCGACCCAAAGAACAAAGACGTGCAGAAGGCCATGAGGTTTCTGGATACACGCAAGACCCGCCCAAAGCTTCGCCACATCTGGATGCCCTTCCAAGGTGGGTGAGACCCCAGCCCCGCATCTACGGGGTATGCCCTTCCTGCCACCCAGCCCTAGTGCTTCTCAGTCCCTGAGGGGCCAGGATGCTGGCAGCTGCCCCTGCCCCAAAGAGAGCCAGTTGCTGGTGAATGGGGACTCGGAGGGAATGATCAAGTGACCGAGTCATCATCCAGATCTGACCATTGCTGCAGACAGAAAGCTCAGACCAATGGAAAACTCATTAGCTCACATAACTGGGGACGGCTTCAGGTTCAGCTGGATCCAGGAGCTCCAGAAGTATTGGTGGAGCTCTTATCCACTTATTTCTCTCTCCATCTCTTGGATAGGCTTTCACGCTGGGAAGAAGTTGAGTTCTGGAACCTCCAAGCTACCATTGTCCAAGTTGAGTGACCCCACTGGCAGTGGGAAGAAGAACACCTCTCTCCCAGCAGCAGCGAATCTAGGTATGGACTCCCGGTCATGTGACCATCTTCTACCCATCACCTTTGCCAAGGGCCAAGGGCTCAAAATCGGCTCATGCTGGGACAGCAGATCCGATTCCTGTCCAGGACGAAGGAGGGCTGGCTGTGTGGTCAGCCCCTGCAGGTTCACATGGGACGGTCCTGTCCACTGCCCTGACCCCATCCAGGGAGGCTTCAGCAAGAGCTGAAGTGAACCCCCCAGGAGAGGGGTGGAGGGCTGCAGGACCCCCCCATACCAAGCCATTGTCCAGTGGACTTCAGCTGGGTGTCCTATAATTCTGGTCAATTCTGTCTCCCTGGAGATAGTGTCAGATCCCACAGGTTAAGGACTCAGTCCCACAATACTGTCCCCACTTCAAAGGACAGTTGCAAGCAGTGGATTGTCACTTACACTTCTGACTGATTGGCTATAATACAGGGCTCTCTACTCCGGTTCAACCATTGGCTAGAGTGGTCCACCGCATTCAGGGAAACGCTTTACTTACGACTACTACTTTATTATAAAAGATATTACAAAGGGCCAGGCATGGTGGCTCACACCTGTAATCCAAGCACTTTGGGAGGCTGAGGCAGAAGGATTGCTTGAGGCCAGGAGTTTGAGACCAGCCTGGACAACATAGCAAGACCCATTTTTTTTTTTTTTTTTTTTTTGAGGCAGCGTCTCACTCTGTTGCCCTGGCTAGAGTGAGTGCCGTGGCGTTACCCTAGCTCACAGCAACCTCAAACTCCTGGGCTCAAGCAATCCCTCCTGCCTCAGCCTCCTGAGTAGCTAGGACCATAGGCACGTGCCACGACGCCCGGCTAATTTTTCTATTTTCAGTAGAGACAGGGTCTCGCTCTTGCTCAGGCTGATCTCGAACTCCTGACCTTAAGCTATCCTCCCGCCTCAGCCTCCCAGAGTGCTAGGACTACGGGCATGAGCCACCGCACCTGGCCAGCATGGTCGATTATTAACGTAAACTCCAGCCCCTCTCTCCTCTCCAAGCTTCCCATCACAGCTTGCTCTGTCTGGTGGTCTCAGCTCTCATGCAGAAACCCACCAAGAGTCGCTTCCTTAGAGCAAAAGACGCTCCAGTCACCCAGGAAATTGTTTTAGAAGCTCTGTGCCAGGAACCTGGGAGCAGAGACCAAATATTAGAACAAAAGGTTCTCCTACCGCTCGGGAAATTACAAGGGCTTTCGGGGCTCCGTGCCAGGAGCCAGGGGCAGAGGCCAATGTCTACATTCTTATTAATTTACAGCCACCAATTCCAGCGTGGCCTCTCTAATTCCACCTGCAGGTCCCTGAGCCCACACATCTCCGGGATCCACAGCGCAAGAGAGGCTGGATCTTTCTCCGCCACAACCGTCGCTCTGCAGCCTGGGCTGCCACCTGCCCCTCTGTCCTTTGGCCCAGCTCCTAATCCCTCTGCCTGCTGTGGCCCCCTGTTCTCCACCCTCACCACCTCCTGCCCCTGGGCAGCTGGCAGGAGGGAGTTGGCCTCATTTTAAGCCCCTAGCTGTTGCAGAGACCAGAGTCAACCCCGGGCAGTGACTGTTGCAAGACATGTTCTCAGGATGCATCTCCTGCCTGGGGCTTCTTGCCACCCACCCTGAGCCATGCATGCCTGTGTGTCCCTCTGGGTCCTTACAAAGCCCTGATTGGGATGAGAGCCCAAGGATGCCTCTGCTAGACTGTTGCTTTTCTATAACTTTTTTAAATAAACCTCTGGGGCCCTGCCATGTTTCTTTATGAGGTGCAGTGTGCATGCTGGAGTGAACAAGGGGTGAACCCCACATGAGCTTCTGCACCCCAAGATCTATGCCCTCCCCCAGCCCTCAGAAAAGACAGCGGCTTCCCAGCGGTTGGCTGCAGCCTGCACTTCCCAGATGGTGACCTTGAGATAATTGCTCTCCCTCTCTCTCTCTCTCTCTCTCTCTCTCTCTCTCTCTCTCGCTCTCTCTCTCGCTCTCTGGGTCTCTTTGCTCATCTGGAAAATAAGGGTCACTGGGTTTGCTCTGCCTGGATTTCAGGGCAGTGGGGAGTCTGGCTGGTGCACGGAGCGGCCCTCTGCAAGCTCCTATGGGCTGTCCAGAGGCCTCTGGCAAGGCAGGTGGGTCAGGACCCGGCCAAGGACAGAGCACTGGGGCCAGGCACTAGTGACAAGTTCTGCAGGTGGAGGCTTGAGCCGGGTAACTATGCTGTCCTCATTCCTTGGCAACCTAAGTTTGCATCACAACAGAGAATGTTCTGGATGGAAACCAAACACACCATCTGTAGGGGACACCCTGGTGGTTTGGGGTCAGGGACCAGCATGCAGTCTCAGCAAAAACGGGGTTGGGTGCAGTGGCTCATGCCTGTAACCCCAGCACTTTGGGAGGCCGAAGACAGGAGGATCGCTTGAGCCCAGGAGTTCGAGACCAGCCTGGGCAACATGGTGAGACACCATCTCTATAAAAAAAATTTTAAAATGAACCAGGCCTGGTGGGTGCACCGGTAGTCCCTGCTACTCAGGAGGCTGAGGTGGGAAGATCACTTGAGCTCAGGAGCTCGAGGCTACAGTGAGCTATGATTGGGCCACTGCACTCCAGCCTGGGCAACACAGTAAGACCCCACCTGTAAAACAACGGCAGTTTCCACAAGCTCTCTAAGCCTCAGTTCTGTACCCCCTCCAACACAATGGGGGTGATAATACTGCCTGTTTCAGAGGGGTTTTGGGAGACCAAATACACCATGATCCGTGATGTGCATAGCACACAGCACACGCTTACTGTGTGGTCATTGATGCGATGACCATCCCAGCCGTGAGATGTTGGTAGATCTGGCCCAATTTCCAGCCAGGCAGGATGAGGTGATGGTTGACGGCACGGGTGACTGCCCAACTTTCAACCCAGCCTGACCCTGCTATGTTGCTTAACCTCTCTGGGCCTCAGTTTTCCCACCTGTAAAATGGGAATGGTAATATTTATAAACAGCATCTATGCCCTGGGGTTGTAGCCACAACCAAAGGAGTCAACAGTCGTAGAATACTCAGAATGGTGTCTGCTGAGTAGTGCGTGGTCAGGAAGTGTGTTTTTCTCCTTTCATATGAGATAGGTAACGTGCGATGTCAGAACAAGGTTTTAGGGAGGCGCATCCCACACATGTGCATGAAAACCCAACTGTCACGTTTACGAACTGCAAAAGGATCCATTGTTATCCTTATTGGGGAACCCACGAAGCCTCCGGTTTCCCCCACGCATGAACCTTGCCTGACCTTGCCGAGGGCAGTGTCTACTTACTTCTAGAACTTGCCAAGGGGCAGGCAGACTTAACCCAAAATAACTTTATTGTTGTCTCCACTTCTGATATAAAAGCATCCTCGGAACGCTAGCCCAGGCTCCAGGGGAGGGCAAACGCTATCAGCAAATCACTCTGTGTGGGGTCAGGGCGCCGTAGGCCCTTGCGCTCTGAGGGACGAGCCCGCGCCCACCCCAGCCGCCCGTTCCTGCATCCCGCCGACCCCCTGGGTGAGCTGCAGTGCAGTGCAGAAGTTTAAGCCTGAGATGGATCAGATACAATGACCACAGGGTCTCTCCCCGACCTTGGCCGTGGGCTGGGGGGTGCACACTGCAGTTTCTTGCTGTCTCCAGGAAAGATGGAGCGTTGGGGTCCCCGGGCTGGCACAGAGGCCCGGGAAGAGGCAGGGCTCGCCTGAGGTCGCAGTGTAGCATTTCACTCTTCCTGAGTTTTGGGGTTTCACCTGGCCAGCCATTGCCGTTGGGCAGCAATTCTTCCCAGTTCCAGAATCTTCCTCCTCTGGGTGGCATGGGAGTTCTGGGGCCCATCGAGGCTGTTCCCAACTAGAGCAGTTGCAGCTGCACCTTCAGCCGCAAGGCCTGGCCCCCTGGTCCTGGCCACCCCTCCGGCTGAGCACCCCGGGGCCCTGCCACGCTCACCACCTCCAGCCGGTAGGTTCCAGGGCCCGGCTTCCTACGCCCCAGCTGCAGAGAGCTGAGGCCGCGGAGGTGATGCATGCGGAAGAAACCTTGCTTGTTGCCACGTGTGATGATGTAGCGGACCCGGCCGCCCAGGCCCTCCAGCGCTGGTAACAGCTCCAGGATGTGTTCGGTCCGGCCCAGGCGTGAGAGGTTCAGGCCCACGGTCAGCAGGGCCTCCGAGTCAAGAGTAGCCAAGCTCACCTGGGGAGAAAGACCAGGTGGGCAGTCAGAGCCTGAGAGAATTGGGATTCGGTGGGTAGGGGGTCCAGGGATCATTCATGGTCAAAGTCAAAGAGGAGACTTCTGGGGCTGGGCAGCATGGCTCATGCCTATAATCCCAGCACTTTG